GGGGGTCCTGGGAGGGGTTTAGAGGGTCCTGGGGGGGTCCTGGGAGGGTTGGGGGGTCCTGGGAGGTGTTTAGGGAGGATTTAGGGGGTCCTGATGGGAGTTAGAGGGGGTTTAGGGGGTCCGGGAGGATTTAGGGGGTCGTGGGGAGATTCGGGGGGTCCTGGGAAGGGTCCAGGGGGGATTTGGGGGGTCCCGGGAGGGCTCCCGGCCTGGGGGGCTCACCCGGTGCTGACGGGGAAGGTTCGGTCGCCAGCGGCACCGAGGGAGGGACCGGGAGGGGCCCCGGGAGCGGTGGGAGGGGGAGAAGCGGCCGCCCCCGGGACAGCGGGCAGTGAGGGAGGGACCGGGGAGCCTCCGGTAGCGCTGGGGAGGAGAAAACCCCCGCCCCGGGGCACCGCGAACGGGGAGAGCGAAGAACCCGGAGCGCCGCCGGTACCGAGGGTGGGTGAGGGGGGAAACACCGGCCCCGGGGCACCGGAGCGACCCCGGCACGGGGAAACCCCCGCCAGACCCGGTGCCCGAACCGCGGGGGGAGCCCCAGCGGCGGGGCCTGGCGGAGCGCGGCCCGGTCCCGGCCCCGCTCCCGCACTCACCGGCTCGCGGCCTCCCCGCGGGGCCTCCGGCGCCACCAACGCGCGGCCGGTGCCGGCGGCGGGCGGGACCCGCTCGGCGCCGCTTCCGGGGCGGCCCGGAAGGAACCGAGCGGCGCCGGGAGCGCGCGGCGCGCCGGAAATGCGTCACCGTGACGTCACCGGCGGGAGCCGCCGAGCTCCTCCGCGTGGGGGGGGGAAATCCCGGAACATCCCGGTCCCGCTTGGATCGGGCCGATCGCAGTCACGGCACCGTCAGCGGGGGTTCTGCACCTCGGTCCCGATACCGGCGGAATCCCCGCGTGGGTCTTCCTGCCTGCCCCGGTACCGGGGGATTCTCCAGGCCCAGTCCCGCCCACCCGCCCCGTTACCGGGGGTTCTCCTGCCCCGTTACCGGGGGATTCCCGGTGCCGCTCCCCGGCCCCATTGAACAGAAACCCCCGGTTCTGACCGACTGCTGTTCCTGGAAGCCGCCCCGGTCCCGGAGCCCCCTCCCCGGTTACCGGAAGAGCCCCAACACCGTGTGTAAGCAACAACCAACGTTTATTCACGGCACGGCGGCCGCCACAAAGCAAAGAACCGGCACGGCGGGACCGCCCCGCGGCACCGGGACCGTCCCGGGACAGCCCCGGGACAGCACCGGGACAGCCCCGGGACACCGGGACAGCCCCGGGACGTCACCGGGCCGTGTCCCCGCTGGGGGCGGTTACTTGGACCTCTGCCTCATCTTCCTCCTCTTGCGCTTCAGCCTGGGGACAGAGCGGCGTCAGCCCCGGGGCCGGCCCGGTACCGGAGCACCGGGAATCCCCCGGGAGCTCCCCCAGCCCCGGCCCGGTACCGGAGCACCGGGAATCCTCACGTACCTGCGCATTCGCTTCTTGCGCCACTGCGGGAGAGGGAGACAGTCAGCGGCACCGGAGCGGCCCCCGGGATCCCCCCCAGATCCCAGGGATCCCCCAGTGACCCCCCCAGTGATCCCAGTACCCTCCTGGGATCCCCCCCCAGATCCCAGGGATCCCCCAGTGACCCTCCAGTGATCCCAGTA